TGTCCAGGAAGTGTTTCTAATGTTTTAAGAGTTTAAAGAATTCAGGTTACAAAGCTTTCATTGTTAAAACAAAGAAAAGTTCTACCATTTCTAAGGAGGGAGGAAACTGAAAATTAGGCTTGAGTTACTAAGCTCGTCATTCTCCTTGTCGAAACTTATTTGTGGTTCTGTAGGTGTGGATGTAGTTTTTAGTGCTTTTTCACAGCAAGACATAGTCCTGGCCTTTTACTGTGTGTTTAGCAGTAAAAGGCTGTTTAGCGCTGTTTTTCACCTCCGGTCCACCTTACACAGTTGCTGCTTCTCAAGAGCCCTACCTTCGTTCCTCCCTTCCCTTTGGAAGGGAGGTTTGCTCAACTGCACCCGCTTGATGATTACGATAAGACTGTGTAGTTTAAAGGAGTTTTTCATCTCTCCAGTAGTAGCTCCTCAGGGAACATTTCTTTTGAGATCTGGATGTAGGTGCACATGGATGCATTAAAGGGTATCCGAAGACCAAGGCCGGTTGTTTCAAACTGCTTTCTGTATAAAAAAGACTTTAAAGTTGCCGTTTGGTTCTGAAAAGCTATGCCTTATGCTTTTTGATGTGAACAGGACAGAGGAACTGACCAGCAGTCAGTTAGCAGAGATGGAGGAGGACTTGCAGCAGCAACTGTCCCGCACAGAAGAAAGGGTCAGGGAAGAGGTGAGAAGTCAGACAAGTTGAATGTTCAGTGATTATGAATGTGAATTGGCACATTTGTGTACATTCATTTATTGAATATTAATGTAAGATTAATGTGGATGCAGGTTAATGCAAAAGTAACCAATACTTTTCTGCGTTCTTGATAATATTCAAAGATACGTACATTGTTTAAATATCATGATTAAATTTTTCTGTTTTTAATGGTACTTAATAACTGACACCAAGACAGATTAACATGCATAAACACATGCGTTTACGTGTGTGTGTAATGTATGCATTCATACATATGTAAATGTGTGTAATTCTGTCTTGGTAAATGAAATGAGGGATTTCAGGTTCAGCTTTATTCTTGAAGCCCAGTGAGATGCAAGAAAGCCGGCCTGACTCGGTGTGCACAAAGGCTTCTCTGAGAGCTAGTAAATGCCTCTTTATTAGGCCTGTGCATATAAGGAAAACACTCTTCTTGGGTTTCATGCATACAGGAGCAAAAGAAATTGGACGAATCCATTGCTATGCTCCAAATCAAGCATGATAATGAACTGGCAGACCTGCAAACAACGATAGAAAGGCTCACAAAGGTAAGGGAGCGATGTGGGATTCTTATTTTAATGTCTTTGCATGTGGGTTTGTCTTTATTTTTTTGTGTAACTTTCTTTCTCAAATTTTAGCAATATCAAGAGGAGTCTAAATTAAACAGCCCCAGGGAAGATGCCATCAAATTGAGAGCACAGATTAGAGATCTGATGCAGGTATGAATCAGATACTCCTTTTCAACATGCAGTGCCCTTCAAAAGTATTTGAACAGAAGGGGAGTGTAACTGTGCCAATTTTAGCTTAAAAGGATAATTTATCAAAAAAAAGAAAATTCTCCCCTAAAAGTTTACCAGAATTGTATGACTGACTTTAGTGGATGAAAAATTTTATCCAGAGAAGTGTCTCTGTGCGGTCCAATGTTTTGTTCCCAAAATTCTTCAAAATATCAAGTTTTGTGGAGACTTCAAGCAGAGGTGAAACTATCGCATAAAGACCAATATGACGACTTCTGAGGGGGCACACAACTTTGTTTTGAACTTAAAGCAAAATTTAAGAGTTTTGGCCATTCATTCACATGACAACAGTGTTTTGGGGGGCTGAAGATGCAAACTTTTGAAAATGGACTTCAAAGTGTAAGTTTTTGAAAACTATACTGTTATTATAAACGCATATTTGTGAAAACGGTGATGCTGTGCGTAATACGTGTTCAGTCTATAGGTTTGTGTGCAGGCGCATTGTGTTTCTTTACAAAGGAACAACGCCAACTACTGGCCTGGCATGCATAATGTGTCCATGGACCACAAAACCAGTCATAAGGGTCAATTTTTTTTTGTCTGAAAGCTGAATAAATAAGCTTTCCATTGATGTATGATTTGTTAGGATAGGACAATATTTGGCCGAGAGATACAACTATTTGAAAATCTGGAATCTTGAGGGTGCAAAAAAATCTAAATATTGAGAAAATCGCCTTTAAATCTGTCCAAATGAATTTCTTAGCAATGCATATTACTAAACAAAAATTAAGTTAATATATTTATGGTAGGAAATTTACAAAATATCTTCATGGAACATGATCTTTACTTAATATCCTAATGATTTTTGGCATAAAAGAAAAAACGATAATTTTGACCCATACAATGTATTTTTGGCTATTGCTACAAATATACCCGTGCGACTTAAGACTGGTTTTGTGGTCCAGGGTCACATAGTATTTTTAGTTGTTTTCACAGATCTTTGTGAACGGATCGATTTGACAACATTGTAATCTTTTCAAAACTGCAAAGTGAAAAACTGAGGCTACATTGTGCAAACGTAACCTCAGTAGTCAAGTGACAATGCGGCCCATATTAGGGATGAGACATGTCGACATAAGTTCAATCATTGGAGAATTTGGGAGTAAAACAAACATTAAAAACAAGGGTCCTTTTTAAATGTAATCTTTGTTGTGACAAATAATGAACTTTTATTTTTTTTTATTTTTTTTAGTTGCACTACAGCTTATTCACTGACATCTTGCCCCACTTTGTCTGTAATGGCAGAATAAGGGCTGATACTAGAGGTCTGCTTTCCCGCGGTATCTGCAACAGTGTTGTGTGAGAAGTTTTGAATTGCTGGGTGCAGGAGGGAAGATACTGATATGTAAGCTGGAGAAAGATGACTTGTGGGACTTGAGTTAATCAAATCTATCTTAAGATACAAAATGTAATGTCTATTGTGCAACAGAAATAAATTGTTTACAGGTGCAAGGTTGGATATTCTTATTGGTTTTTTTTTTTGGTTTTTTTTTTTGACTGCATATGACCGCAAAGGAAAGCTTCTTTTTTGTGTTGGAATTGGGGAAAAAATTGCCTATGACACTGGAGCTAGATAGTCATACTGCAACGGGACTGAAAAATCTGTATAGAGCTGTGGGATTTTGTGGGCAGGAGCAGGAAGAAATAACTTATTTTCAGCGTAAATGGCACTGAAAAATCGATCCCGTGGAGACCTCTAATTGTAACACTAAATGCAAACTTAAATATTTGTGATCTCATCAGCTTTTGTGTTCCTCTGCAGGAAAATGAGGAGCTGAGGAGTTCTCTTATGAAAGCCCAGATAAACGTCTCCGTTCTCCAGGTTGAGTTGGACAGGTTGCAGAATGCCTTCACTGACCAGAAACTCCAACATGAGAGGTGAAAACATTGATGCTTCAATTCATTTAAGCTGGGTTTGTGTGCGTAAATATGTGAATGCTGCCAGTAGTTCTTAAACACCGCCGCCTCCAATGTGTTTTCTAAGAAGTAATTTAAGAAAAAGTGCTTGATGTGATTTCTTTTTCTTCTCAGAGAAAGTGATGACCTTAAGAAGATGGTGATGGAGTTCCAGTCTTATTCCAGCCAAATAGAATTCCTCCAGTAAGGCAATTCAGTCGTTCTCTTTGGGAGTCAAATGAATCACAATATTCTAATAAAGAAATGGATCTTCTAGCTTACTTATACAATATGACTTCTCTCCTTCACATCAGGGAAATGAACAAAACGTTGTATGACAGCAATGATGGGTTACGCTCTGCACTGAGCCAGGATATTGGCTCTTCAAAAAAACGGGTAGCTAGTTAGAACTGCATTCATTGCAGCCATGATCAAATATTTGAATTTCCAGCATACAGAAATACACCATTGTTTCTGGAAGTCGTTTAATGTACACCATAACAACCCTCATTAAAATGTTTGCTCTTCTGTAGCTCTCACCAAAAAATGAAGTCCCTCCTAGAAAGATGAAACCACTTCGACAGAGTACAATGAATCAGAGCGGGTAATTATATCCTTTATTGTTTACTCTGTATTTGTTGCAGCTGTATCTTGACAGAAAAAAATAGTAGACTTTAAAGATTATTTCTTGTTTAGGCCTGTATATTATAGTCTTGTTTAACTTTTTTAGTTTTACTAAAGATGAGGACACGATGGCCCTGGTGAAGTGCTGGGCTGATAAGTATTTGGATAGTGGCGTCTCCGTTCAGACAGACGCCGAGCCGATGTCAGGCAGCGATTATGACAGTGACGGCAGCCAAAATTCAGTGGAGACTGTGCAACATAGTTACTCTTGTGTTCCATCTGAGTTGGAGGCAAGTCTTCAGCTTTCACTCGTTTCCACACTTTGCAGTTGTGTATCTGTATAATTCATTGCTGGGTTAAATAACTAATGTCTCAGGTGTCAGAGCTGAAGTGTGAAGCTGTGGGATCTGTAGCTCGTAGCACAGTTGGCTCAATATCCTCCTCACTTCGGCGGCGGTTGTCTGCTTTTCCTGTCAAGGTAGTTCTTGCTACAGTACTTTATTTTTTTTCACTAGGTATTCTAGAAACTATAAATGCCAAATTAGTTTGAGAAGTGGAAAGACTTGTCTGAGTTTTTCAGTCATGAGGTAAATGACAAACAACTGAAAAAGTGGATGGTCTTGAAGTCAGAAAGGTCAAGAACCACTGTGATAAACTGCCTCTTTACAACTATTTTCCTAATTAATGCTGTACAGTTGGTTTGACACAATCTGTATTGTTAAAAGCGCTATATAAATAAAGGTGACTTGACTTGACTTGACTCTGTAGCAAACTGAAGAAGACTTGTGTACAATATTAGGACACTTTAAAATACCATATGACCTGCTCTTTAAGAATTTTTTTTCAGCAAGGATGCATTACATTGGTGAAAATATTATATACATTTTATAATGTTAGAGTTTTAATAAATGTTTTTATTCAAATGAAACAAACTATACTCGCCATATGTGATGCCTTACCATCACAGGAATAAATTACATTTTATAGTATATTTAAAAAGAAAACCATATAAGTGTTTTACTCTATTTTTGAACAAATAAATGTACAGCCTACAAATGTACAGAACATGCCAAATCCCCAACAGTAAACTGATGCCTTGTTCTATTTATGATGTACTGACACAAGTTAAAATGATTTGCAACAGTTGCTTTGTCGCGTCCAGTGTAGAGCTGTTGCGGTGCGACGCGACAACTGTAGCGTCCGTTATAGACACGGTGAGTGAAGCCGAGAGCAAGATATGCCTCGTCATATTTTCTGCATTTAGCTTTTGAATG